TCTGAACACAGTATAACACAAGAAAATTTATTAAATTTACAATCTTACTGGATATTTGATAAAAATAGTACTAACAAACCACATTTTTAGGTAGTAGATAATAAAACATTTTAGTACTAGAAGGCAAATAAATGTATCAAGGCACAGAATATTCAGAAATATCCCCTAATATAAACCTAATTTAAGGTAGTATGTGATATATGTGACACTTTCAGTCTCAGAGGAAAAGATGGATTATTCAATAAATGCCATCAAGATAAGTGGTGGGATGTTGCAGAGAAAAAGTAATGTTTGGTTCCTACTTTCATCAAACATACGATTTTAGTTGTATGTTCTTTCTTTATCCACTATATACAACTAAAATCCACTACATACAACTAATACCTAATGTTTCACTTGTAACTCAAACATAAGAAAACTCTGAAATGTAAAGAGAAAAAGGCACATGAGTTAGGGCCTGGAGACCTAAGATACCACCTTACATGTGAGTTCCATGAATTTCTTTTTGCCTCATGTATCCCAAATTGGAAGAGACCACAACTGATAACCTGGAAACACCAATAGATAAAGCTCCCAAAAGCTCCAATGAAAGGTAATCTCTCTAGCCAAAAACCAAGAGAAGGACAGCCTGTCAAGACAGAACGTTTAGATATCCTCTACAATAGGCAAATACTATAGGAACAGTCTGCAGCCCCGCTCCTCCCCACTTCAGCAAAGACCAAGCAGGGAACACATCCAGTTAAGCACCCCACCCACCACTGGCTCAAGGGAGGAGACAGTCTTCCACCCACAGCTGCAAGGGTGCTCCTCTACTCATCCAGGGAGGCCGAGTGAGGAGTTAAGACTTTCACCGTTACCTAGTACCGAGGAGGCCGGCTCTCAGTGATGCCAGAGGACAGCAGGTAGGTTTATCATGAGCTCCTGTTATGCGCCGAGTGAGGCCAGTATCAGTGGAAACCTACTAGGGAACTAGAACCCAACCATCTACAAGAAAGATTTTAAAGCAGCCATTAAAAATGAACATTTGCACACACATTTAAAAGAAGTGAAAAATAGAAAGCCTCAGAAATGCAATGAAATATAAGAAAAAGAGAGTCAAATGTGAATTTTAGAGCTGAAAACTATAATAGCAAAAATATCTCAGTGGCTAGACTCAGCAGCAGAATGAGGGGGCAGAGGAAAGAATGTGTGAACTTACAGGCAGAGCGATAAAAATTACTAAATCTGGAAAGAAGGTCCTTAAAAATTAAGATCTCAGGAAGCTATGAGAATACATGAAGGAAAATAGGTCTAAAACTCATGTCATCTAACGAGAACAGAGAAGTACTCAAAAAAATAATATTAGAAAGTTTCCAAATTTAGCAAAAGACATCAGTGTACAGATCCAAGAAGCTAAGGAAACCATACACAAGCTAAACCCAAAGAACCCATACCAAGACACATCATGGCCAAACTTGTGAAAATTAAAAAATAAAGTCAGAGGCAAAGCCATAGTACAACCTGTGGTCCAACTGCACTTTTGTCCTTTACCCTTGGGCTCAAAAATGATGAATTCAATGTTCCTGGGTCTTTCAAATACATCATTCTAAAGGGATATAAAAAGAACTTTCATCTTCATGGCTTTATTTTGAGGTAGAGCACACGTCTTCTCCAGAAAATACACATAAACTTTCTCTTACGTTTTACTGGGTCAAGTTTGATTCATTGCCCAGGGAACACCTTATGGAGACTGGTTTTTACCTGGACTTTCAAAACCAACTTTTATGGCAAAAAGGAGGAATTATCTGATTAGATTAAAAAATAAATCCCTTCCTGGTGCTGTGCTGAAATCAATCCCTTTCCATTTTTCAGGCATCTCAGTGGTCTCTGTCAGTTAAATATCAATTAAATCCTGTCCTGCAACAACAGACTAGGCTAAGTTAATAAAGGCAGTCTCCAGGCCTATCTCTTCTTTTTTCAGGAAACATGTGAACATTGATTGGCTTTCCTGTAGTTAAAATTCCCAGGCTCTGATGTCCATTATTCTGAGAGTGAGAACTGCAAGCCAGGTAGACAGGATTGCAGCAGACATACTCACAACAAAGCCAGTGTTCTGTCCCTTGCCTTTCGCCCTGTGTCAACAGCATGTGTTTCAGTAGCTTTTTTCCCTCAACATCATGGTGTTGATTTCTCATTAGACAGAAAATAGGAAACTCTGCGTTAAAAATCACGTGTCACTCCTCACCCCCATCCTATGTATAAAAACAGAAACTGAGCTTTAGAGAAAATATAACTTTTCTAATCATATATAGTTCATACGTTTTAGATTCACAACCAATTAGTTTAACTTTAAATTTAGAACTATCTTCACCATACATCTTTTTAATTTGCTGATGACATCATCCACCAGACAATTTTAGTTCAAAACTGTCATAAATATGTCATTAAAATATCTTTAAAATATAGCTTCTCTATTTTAATCCTTCTTAAATGCAAGTAATTCAAAAATAAATGTGCCTGCTGAGAGGATGCCCTTGTCCTGTCAACATGTGGCAGAAGAAAAATCTCCCTGGTTCTTACTTACCATGATGGTTCATCAGCGGGCCTTAAAATATGAATTTCTGAAGCAGTGTAATTAACACTGTCAGATAATTTATGGATAGGCAAGTTTATGATTTTTTCCATGCAAATCCTTGGAGTCTGTCCCTGGGAATTGTTCTCTGAGATGTATGCAATTTTTGATGTGGAAACACACACAGCTTGGAGGCCCTCTGAAAATACTAAGTATCACCATCACAAGGCAGTTCTTTGAAGCTATCAGTTAATGCTGTGATACTGGTTGTCCAGACCTAAATGGAATCCAGTTCTAAGATTATTCTTCTGTTGAATCTCTTTGTTCCTTTGAATACCTTTCTCTTTGTAAGCTTGACATTTTAAGCAGCAGATTGTAGACACTTTCTCACACTGCTACAGTTACACAGTAGGGGACCAAGAAATCCTTGAAGTTCCCCAGAGCATGGACAATCTTAGTGCCTGCCTCATCAAAATGTCTCCTTGCTAGGGCACTAGCAAATGACTGAAGAAACCTCCCTGAAATCCTTGCTTATTAATCACTATTTCAACTCTTGTGAGCAAGGCCCACACAATGAAAATATCTAATTATTAAATTAAATGTGTTAGGAATTTTATGAAGTGTGCAGAGACAGAACATATCTTAGAGCTGTATTTGGAAAGTGTAACATACAGACTCTAACAAAAATCTAAATTTCTCTGTCAGGATTCAAAATGTATTTTGGTCTGTCTTGAACTATAGATTCTGATGATATCTAGGGAATAATTTAACAGAGCTTTGCGGTGAGCTGTGGAACTCATTGCTAAATTATTTAATCGGGATTCAGGATGTCGCACTATATTTCCCACAGCCACTCTTAATGTGCCCAGGAGGAAATATAGCTTCCATAGCAGCCAAGCTGTTCTAATTGATAAGAGGAGAGGTTCATAAATTCAGTAAATATCCATCATGGAAAAAACAGCTGGCTTCTAACTAATGTAAGAGTGTGTGGCAGAGTTGGAGAGTCGACAAGTATTTATCGAACACTTACCTATAAAGACAATATTTCGGACACTGCAGATACAAATATAATATAGTGAGCACACTCATCCCTAAGAAAGTTGTATCCTCACAGATATGAGGAGAGGGGCGGTGAAGCCACATAGAAACTAATAAATGAGTTGGTCTTTTCAGACCCTAGTAAGAGGTATGCTTAAAGCAAGATAATTTGATGCAGACTGGTGGTCACAAGGTGATGCCTGACAAAAGAACTATTTGTTAAAGCAGAGGGGACAGTTAGGATGGGGTAGAGGCCGATGTACATCCTAAGGGAGAATAGGTCCACAGACACCCTCTAAATTTAAAACCAGTTTCCATTTTCTTAAATTTATACTCACTTCAGCCTCTCTGTATAAGAAATGCTTTCAGTATAGGACATTAGCTGGTTCCCACAGCAACCCTGAGCCTTGCAGATTTTCATTCCCCTTTAGCCTCTGAGAGAACAGAAGCTAAGAGGAACGTTCGGTAACTTTCTGAAGGTTACATATAGATATCGAGCAGAGCATAAATTTAAACCAGGACTTCTCTCCTCATATACCAAGCAGCACAAAATCTTTCAAAGATGTCAAGGCAGTAGAGGGTTAAGGAAAATCTGAAATATTTGTAGGCCTTCTTAGGTCATTATTATCATTATTCTACAGAAACATAAACATGCCCTTTTATATCTTCATCAAAGAAAGAGAAAGTAAGTATCTGTTGTTTTTTTAAGAAATTACTGTTGTAGCCAAGGGGAGTTCCCTTAATTATGAAGAGCAGCTGGGAATGTGGATATGTCATTCCATTTATTACTTGCTAAAGGACAGTTCAGATTCTCTTTAAAGCTAAGGGAAAAGTAATTAAGAAGAAGGGAAAGAAATACAGAACCCCAGAGGGATAAGTATCAGATGGCAGGAGACATCCTAAAACAAACAGGAAAACAAAAACAAGCTGGGTGTGGTGGTGCACGCCTGTGATCCCAGCACTCAGAAGGCTGAGGCAGGAGGATCACTGCGAGTTTGAGGCCAGCCTGGGATACATAGTGATACCTTGTCTCAAAAAAAGACCAAAAAAAACAGAAGAAAACAGAACAAAAACAAAACCAGCAATCCACTGGATCCTTCCAGCACAGGAGCACCAGTACAGATGTTCAGTCACAGGTGTTGATCACCCTTGTGTGGGATGTGGCAGAGGTCCTGAGCACCAGCTTTTTGTTCACATTTACCAGGACTGAAAACCACCACAGCAAGAATAAAAAGCAACAAGCTAAATAAACAAATGCAAACAAATAAATAAGGGGAAGAGAATAAGAATCAAACACATCGCAAATTATCATTATTAAAGCAAGTTACTTAATCACTTACTAAGGAGTACTGTATCTGTTTTTTGTTTCTATGTCAAAAAATGCTAATTTTATATCTTATTTTAATCCAAGGTAAAAGGAAAGACCATGTACCTTCTCCTGCCAATGAATCATCTCTGTGGTGACCTAACCTGGCAATGCCATCCTCAGACACTCTGACCTTCCATGTGGAAACAGATTGTGAAGGTAAAATGACAGTGCCAAAGAGGATGTATATGCAAAGTATCTAAAAGGAGCACTTGAAGTTAATGAGATAAAATCTGAAATTCATTTTCCCAGCCAGATTAGCTACTTTTCAAAGGCTCAGGAGCCACAGGTAGCCCATGGCTCCTGCCTTGAGCAATACAGAAGATTTTCTTCATCCAGCCAGGTCTAGGGATACTTCTGGACCAGGCAGTGCTTGTCTAGTGACAGATTCCCACGTCTTCTCTACCTACACTGTGTCACCAACCCTATCTCTCTTTCACTCCTAAAGTCTTCTTTATGTGAATCTAATTTTGTTCTCAATTTTACTTCCCAAGTTTAATCTCTTTGCCATACTGGGCATATAAGAATAAGTTTGAATCCAGATGTGATTTAATTACATTTGTGCCAAGTCTCTGATCTCACAGTTGTGGACAAAGTTACCCATCATGAGAAGACATACCTGTACATGCAATAAGTACTCAGTGCCAACATGTCCAAGGCACAGAGAACAGATAAAACTTCAGACCTCAGGAATCTTACAATCTAATACAGGGACAGAAAAGAAAAGTCAAAGAAGAAATGCATTAGTCTAAGAAGGAAAATAATGCAGGATGGGGCAGCAGCAAAAAACAGAGAGGAGGCAGCGTCTGTAGTTCTCAAGAGGGTGATTAGCCAATCTTCAATCCAAAATGAGAATTGAAACAAGCTGAAAAAAAACAAGAAAGAATAAAGTCTAGGGTTAGCCTATTCCAAGAACATTCCAAAGAGCAAACACAATATCCACAGAGCTGGAATAGGTTCAGTATATCCAAGAAGTAGATATAAGAGTAGCGTTGTTGGAAACAAGTAGCAAGTGGAGGAGTGAAAGGAGGAGAATTCTGGGAAATAGCCAAGGGCCAGATCCAGTAGAGCCATACCTTAGTCACCTGCTGCTGAATAACAAATGCCCCCAGATTTAGTGGCTTGACAGAATGTTAGCTATCTGATATTGGCTGTCCATCAGAAACCCTGGTGCAGCTTGTTCAGATCCTCTACTTCAGAGGTTGCCAGGATCTCATGGACCCATTGCCCACACTCACTGATGTTTCACTCCTACTCCTTCCCTCTGTTTCTTCAATCAAGGTAGGGGTTAAGGCAGTGATCATCTGAAGGCTCAACATCAGAAGATCCACTTTCAAGTTCCTCACATGATTGTGGCCAAAGCTGAAGTTCTGATAAGCTGCTGCACTTAGGGCTTCAGACCCTTTCCAGCTGTTGACCAGAAGCCACCCTCCCTTCCTCATCTTGTGGTCTCTCCAACATGTACCTTCCTTCATCAAAGTGAAAAGACTGAAAAATAAACAGCCTTCTGGCAAGATGAATGTCATGTTCTTTTGTGACCTAAATGTAGAAGTGAGATGCCTTCATTTCTGAATGAGTGACAGGCCTAGCCTCCCACTAGAAGAGATTACACAGGAACATGAATAAAAGATGCAGGATACCAAGTCCTGTGTGGCTCTTGAAGTTCCCCAGTGGAAGGATGGTGAGAGGATGGGAAAAATAAAGATAAAAAATAAAAGCTGAAGTCAGGTGGAGCCCTCTCTCTCCAGATGGGAAGAAAGGAAACTGCCCAACCACCATAGGGGCATTTATTTACACATTTGACAAAGTTGGTGTCGCATGATACAGTTTTGCCTAGGAACTGATTGCTTGGATTGTATCAGGGCTTGGTGTTCCCTGGACAGAAGCAGCTTGATCACATAGCTTGCCTCAGATGCTCTTTGTTCTCTGACTGGCCTTGCTTCACCCCACAAATGTGTGATCAATTTTCAGCTTCAGCTGATCCCTACAGCAGAATCACTGGGGGAGAGATATCTTAGAGGTCTACCTAATCCAGCTCATGTGGGCTATCATAAGGAGTTGGAATTTTACCTGAAGAGTGATTGGAAGGCCATGGGAAGCTTCAGTCAGAGAACTAGTAAAACCAAATTTCAATTCAATATCTGGCCAAGGTTGACAGAGGTTGACCAGTTGAAAGAGAAGTCAACAAGAAAGGAGAAGTCAACAGCCTCTGTAGAAATAAGGAGACAGGGGCTGGGGATTTAGCTCAGCAGCAAAGCGCCTGCCTGGCAAGCGCAAGGTCGTGAGTTCGGTTCCCGGTACTGGAGAAAAACAAAAAAAAAAAAAAAAAGAAAGAAGGAGACAATAAGGAGCTGTGGCAGATGCTCAAGTGAGAAGTAATGGAACTAAGGAGATGCTGTCAAATTTGAGATCTATTTTAATGGTAGAACATGCAGTAGGTGCTGATAGTTTTGCTGTAGGGTGAAGAACAGAAAGCTAGGGACCCTACAAGAAAGCCTGAAATAGATAAAGCAGTCCCCACAGGAAGATTTTCTTTGTAATTTTCCAAGAGAAAAAAGCTCATGCGTTTTTGCATTTTCTCTTTCTCACCACATCTTTTCTAACACGTTTCTTGTAATCTTCACAAATCATTTCATATATTGATGCCTAGGAAATTGTAGAATTTGCACACATTTAATATGTAGCAAAAGCACAATGCTAAGTGCTGCAGTGAAGGTAGGGTTTAAAAAAATAGCTGTCATTATTTGTTATCAGTATATGAAATTGTCTTTTTCAGTGTATGTGTCCTGGTCCCTCAACTTCAGTGGTAGATTTAACATGTCCTTCTCATTCCTTTTTTATATAAAAATGTAAATATTTTAATTTCTTATACAAGAGAGAAAAGGAGTTGATTTCTACAAAACATTAGGAGTCTTGCTATGCATTTGTAATATTTGGACTTTGAGAACAAATTATTGTAGTCTGTGAAATCCCAGCATGGATGTTAGCTCTTCCAGGGTGTGCCTGACTTAGAGCACACACACACCCTGAAATCACCAAGAGCTCAACAGGATAAACAGGGCCAGTATAGTGGATTGACAACTGGTGGTTAACTTATAACCCCCAGCTGAACTAAGTAAGCATGGTGCTAGGTGTGGGAGATCCACCTGAGGATCGTTGCAGCAGCATAAGAGGCAGAACTGGAGAAGAAGAAGTTAGGCTGTTGGAAGCTGGTAGAAGCTATAAAGGAAAAAAAAAAAAGAAGCTGTAAGGAGCTGTTGGTTCTTTCAGAGGAGCTCCTCATGCTGGCTTTCCTGATGAGTCTGGTTGTTTTCCTCCTCCAAAGAGCTCGGGACCTTGTTGGCACTGCGAATAGCTTTGGTTCACTTTGGGGGACCTCTAGTCTTCACTTCAAGCATCGCTTCTTGGCTCCAGAGGGGAAGATGGTGCACCGCCAGTCTCCTGGAGAAGCTTGTTGCGTTGGCTTTCCTGATGGGAACTCAACTGTCCTGATCATCAGAGGAGTTTGGGACCTCACTGTTGCTGAGAATGGCTGTGGTACCTTTCAGGGGAGCTCCGGTTCTTACTTTAAGCATCGTTTTCTGGCTCGAGTGTAGATCCCTTAGCCTGCTAGCACAGATCCTTCATCCTGCTGGCACAGACTTTCTAGATTCCACCACTAACCTTTGGGCCTTCTCAGTGCAGATCTGTGAAATAGGCCTGCATGAGACATTTTTGTGGGCACTAGGTCTCCAGTTGGACTCGTGAAAGACATTGTTATGGGCTCTAGGTCTTTAGCTGGATTCATGCAGGACACTACAGCAGGATCCAGGCCCTCAACTGGATTCTTGGTCTATACTGTGTGGACAGGTTTCCTGCAGTCTGTTGTATAGTCTTCTTTGGGCGACTATTATAAACAATCTTATAAAATATGTGTCCTGTATTATATTGTTCCCCTTGCAATACCCCTCAAATTATGACAACAGGGTACATCTTTTACAACTCTTCTAGATTCATCCCAGCTGTTGTCTCACGCTGAATCTGAGTGTAGTCAGATACTAAACAAACATAACTCAACTAGGTCAAGGTTAGCACAGAACAATATAGTATTCCTTCTTGGGTTTTAATAGTTAAACAGATTTCTCTATGACTAAAGCAACTGATGTCATCTTTTCCCTGAGCAAAACATTATGATTTCACTCTAGAACTGCCTTACTTTCACTTTATGTCTCTTACCTTTTATCTCTCCACCCACTCCCTGCACAAAGGGCTCTCTCTTCTGTGTGTTTCTGGCTAGGGAATAAGATATCTCAGATTGTCAAGATCCACAGACAGAAGTGTCCCAGACAGCTGAAGTTTCACCACCACTCATCCTTGATGTCACACCAGACAGGTAACTAAGCATGACATCCTCCATGTATAGGAACCGTGTAAACTCAGACAACCTCTGTAACACTGCCTGGGTCTATTCTTCCAAACAGCAAACCTAGCCCAGTAACAACACCACAGCATGCTTTTCCTGATTCTCATACCTTTGTAGAAAAGAAAAGAGGTCAGACTGCTCCTCATAATAATTTCTGGTGATTTCAAGAACTGTCTACATTTTTTCTGAAAGAAAATGAAGTGGGACAATTGAAGTAGGAACAGATGACAGATTTTAGTTTCAGCCCCTGGTGAGACTTGTGTATTTAGCAGAAAACTTGCTAAGTACACAAGTCCTTGTCTTTGTCTTTCCAGCCTGATGCTGAGCCTGTCCTCTTGTGCCTTGCAGGTTCCTCTCTTGCTTTCCTGACTTGGGTTCCCTTTCCTCTCACCTTCAGCATTTATGGGATCACCTCTACCACCAGGCTCATGTCCACCCAGGGCCACCCTCCCAGCAGGCTTCTCCAGGGCCCACATCCACCCAACCATGCCAGAAGTGACCAAAGAGTCCCTGCTCCTTCTTTGTTGTCCCCTGTGGCTCCTACCTGTCAGGTGTGTCATGGTCTCCACCTGACAACCTCAGCTCCATCGTTGCATTGTTTTGTGTTCTGTAGCCTTCTAGCAAAGGGAAGTCTCTTTCAAAGGTGTATTTTATAAAACAGAACTTATCATTTCCTATACTTTTGATCAAGAAAAAGAGAGTCAACTATTCCCATTCACTGCATAGTTTAGAAAATTGTTAGCTTGATTCCTGA